CAAAATATATAACATTTTAAGAAATACTGTCAAACTGCCTTCTAAAATGACTATACCAATTTAACTCTCAAGAACAGTGAAAGAGGAAAATGGCCTGGTTAACCTGTACCTTCATATTAGGTATTATTAATATATGCTTATCAGCCATATATTATGTAGGTATAAATACCTTTCTATGACCACCTATTTTTATCCTTTGCCCCCTTTCCTAATAAGTTGCTAGTCTTTTTTCTTATTAATGCATAAGCACTCTTTAACATGTATGTTAACGATTTTGGGGGTCCGGTCTGCCTTTTGACTTTATTATGGTCTTTTTTTGCCATGTAAATTGTTCAAATTTTGTGTAGATTTAGCGTTTTTTTCCCTTTACAGCTCCTGGATGGAATATTTCTTCTCTTCAAGATTATGCAAATATTCTAATATTTTTATTTCATTTTAAGATTTTGATCCACCTGGATGTTATCTTCATAAAAGACCCAGTTTTTCCCCTCAAATGGTAAGTGGTCTCAAACTCATTGATTGAATAATTATTTGTATTAATTTGAAATGCTACGTTGATCATATGCCAGAGAACCAAATACACTGTGTATATTTTCTATAATCTAAATGAATTATAGATTTCTATGCCAACGCCATAAAACTTTACTACAATTTCATAAATTTTAATGAGTCTAGCCTCATTACTCTTCTTTTTCAGGTTTTTCCTGGCACTTTTTCCATGTTATTCTTCAAAATGAACGTAGTCATTTTGTCAAGAACTCTCTTCCTTCTCAATAAATAATTAAATGAATAACAATAAAAAATAAACAAAATCCCACTGATATTTTGATTAGGCTCACATGAGACTTAAAGGTCATTTAAGAAATGTTATTTCTACAAAATTGAGTCCCCTAAGAAGAAGGTGCTTATTTCCATTTATTCAATCTTTTTCAAGTCATTCAGTAGAGTTTAAGCTTTCTTCGTATAGATCTTTCACATTTCTTTCAATAGTTTTTTATTAGCACTAGATGAAAGTGAACATGAAGTTATAACCCCTACAAAAAGATGAGGTAAAGGAATAACCTCTGAAAGAGCCACAATCTTAAAGTAGTTTGGGATCTGCTCCAAAATAAGTAGGGGAGACTACATTTCTTTATTAAGCTCCTCTATTTTTAACAGAGAATGTCAATCTTACTTTGGCTTAACTTATTCTTAACATAAACATCCTCGAACTTCTCTTTGTTCATTAAAGCTATCTATTATGATATTCTTGCAAATTCACCAGTCCTCTAAAATTCACCTCACTGAATACATTTTGACTGATTAATGTTATACCTCACTATGACTATTCAGGACAATTATAGTTCTTATTCTTAGAAAAATTCACACATAATTTTGTATATAATTTTAGGAGATCTGGAGTCATACTGGTCAAAAATTACTGCCTGAGTTAGAATGAACCTGTTCTTTTAAGGTACCTATTTCATCTGCTGCTATAGTCACCTGCTGATAGCTCTACAGAGGTAATTCAGGCACGATAGCACATTAGTCACACTTCATATGGGGGACATTTAAATTTAAAACTTTTCTTTGGGAAATAATTTTAGACTTTCTAGAAAAGTTACAAAAACAGTACTAAAAATTCTTGACTCAGATTCCTCAAAAGTTACCATTAAAACATTTAAATTTCAAACAACTTCGATCTGAGTTTTTTACTATATTGTAGCTCAAGCTACTTAAACAAGCAAAGCACCAGTTTAATACCTAGGGGGTATTAATAATAATCTTAGTACAAGATCAAAATCTCATATCAATAATTCCCAAATCCCTAAGGCTCTGAAACTGAAATATTTGTCTTAACTCCTTTGATGGCAAAACCTGACTGGGCCAGTTTATAGTCATTATGTATTCATTATAATGTGAGCACGTATAGGTTTCACCGCAGAAATAGTATTATGCTTTGATTTTGCAGTGCTGGCCCAAACATATGAGGGGTGAATGTAATATATAGTATTATATATAGTATATATAGTAGCATATTCTTAACGATTTCAGATAAGGGAATGTAGACCTTTAAATGTCATTGCATATTATTTACTATGTCCCAGCACTGTTGTTCAGTTGTTCAGTTATTATTTCATTTAATTCTCTCAATAACTCAGTAAATCAGATCTTGCTGAAGGTCACTTGTGTATCAAATGACAGAGGCAATATGAAAATTTATGTTTATCTGAGTCAAAGCTTTAACCAACTTTTGGAAGTTAGTTGGAAAAAGTACTGAAAACTAGTCTCTCAAAACCAGAATACTGGCAGTATGGTAGCTGAACAGAATCCTTTGGAAAGATTTCATATCCCCTTCTTCCCTCCTTCCAGCAAATATCATTACAATCATCTAAAACTTTGGTCATTTTCATGTGAATGACTGATAAAACAGGTATTGTAAACAAGGTACTTCTAAATGTCAGTAAGTATATCTTCTGTATTCATCATAATCAGTGGTTCACAAATAGGGGTAATTTTGGTTCCTCCAGGGGACATCTGGCACCGTCTTAATAAGAAATAAAAAATCCAAGAAATCAGCCTCTCTAATGATTAAAGATACAAAAAAAGTTTGGTAATATTCAATAAAAGTGCAGGTATAAATAAAATAGGCACTCTCTCTTTTTTTTTTTTTTGATGAAGGTACAGAGTGGTACTGTTTTGAGAAGGACAATTTGGGAGTTTCTCTCAAAAGTTTAAATGCATGTACTCTCTGATCCAGCAATTTCGCTTTCTAGGAATTGATCCTATAGAAAAACATCATTTAAGCACACAAAACAATTTGTTCAATAATGTTTATTACAGCATTATGTGTAATAATTAAAAACTAGAAATAAGCTAAATGTTCATGGATATGGGAATCATTAAATAAATTAGGATATAGTCATAGTTGGAATATGCTACTTAAAAACAATTACGTACCTTTACATTAACAAGAAAAGAGGTTAAAAATATATTGCCAAATGGAAAATCCAACTGCAAGAAAAAAGTATGTGCATATATTCATAAAAAATTAATAATTTTTAACTTGGGGAGAGTCATGTCACTTTTTATAGTTTGAGTATTTAATATTATGTTTTACTTTATTAAATGAAAAAAGAACATATATGATTAGAAGGAATTATGAAATTTTATCAGAGATCATCTCTAGATAGTGGAATTCTAGGTGCTATTTCTCCTTTAAACTTTATGATGTGCATGTATTATTTTTACAATACCTACTATAAAATGATTCCTTCCTACATGCCATTACTGCCTAGGTGAATTAATAACACTACAGGTCCCCAGATGTTGCTGCTGCTGTTAAAAACAAACAAACAAACAAAAAAACACTAAAGGCCACAACTCTATTTGGTAGCTATCATCAGCTCCATTTTACAGATGTGAAAGACACGAAGAAATTGACTCTAATAATTAAAAAAAAAAAGAAATTTACTCTGAAGCCTATTATATAATATGTTGGTAATTTCCTTGTGAGAAAACACTATAGATGTAAGAAAACCAACCCCAAGTCTCTATACATTCATGAGCAAAATGCTAATGCAAGAGTCTGATCTGACATTTCGGAGACCTGGGGTGTTTCAAAATAACATAAAATATTAACATAAATTTGGTTACTAAGCCCAGAAAATATACGGAGTGCAATATTCTTGGAAAAAATTTCCCACATTCATTCATGTACCTAGAGACACAAAAATGTTACACTTGAGGCTACTAAGAACCAATCTCTGATGGCAATCATTTTAAATGGTTTCCTTTGTATAACAGGAATACATTTTATATTTGGAAAGGCACAAACCAGTTACCCTAAACTTCAAACAAATTATTTCAATTTCTACATATGTCAATTTCAAAATGTACAAAGGAATCCTCTCATACTTGATAAATGTAAGACATTACTTTTGAAAGCCAATCAGGAAAAAGGAAAACCACTTTTACAAATATTTATATCTTGAAACATAAAATAAATGGATAACACCATCTCCTAATTATCTAACAGCCTTGAAAAGGTGAAAGTGTTATTAGAATAATGATGGATAATTCTAGTGACTCTGTCTTTTCAATTTATGAAACAGTAAAATTGGAAGGGAACCTCAGAATTTGCCCAGCCCAACTCCGATATCATACAGATGAGGCCCAGAGAATAGGAAGTGATTTGTTCAAGGCCCCACATTTCCTAAGAGGATGAAGAGGAAGGGACTTCCTCAGGGTTTTTTACTCTAAACCAAAATCTTAACTTCTGAAAGGTATTATCCAATAATTTAGCTGTCTACTTAAAGTACTTTTGGATCCTGTTTTCCTCTATTCTTGGGACTTTCCAACTCAACGCTTTCAGAGAGCAGCAAATTAATCTGTTATGTTACCTGTACTCAAAGATTCACTATTAGAGCAAATGTTTTCAAAGTTCCCTTCTTCCTCATTTCCAGCTTTTAAATGAAATCTCGCTTGCAATCTCAATGTAAAAAGGATTACAAAAGTAGAGCTGCTCTGATTAAAACAGTAGAGGGGTCCTACTTTGACTCACTGCTTTGTCCTGGAAGTCCCTGAAATACGTTCATGATACCCTTAGGTCTCAGAGAAAGTCTTATGTCTAATGTATGAGAGTGTTCTAGGACACTGCTACTCAAAATATGCTTCTCAAATAATCAGCACCACTGGGAAGCTTGTTGGAAAGGCGCAGTGTCAAACTTCAACACAGGCCTACTGAAAAATCAAAACAAGCATATTTAACAAGATGCCTAGGTGATTCATATACACATTAATGTTTGAGAAGCTTCTCAAAGGCTATCACACACACTTCAAGCCCAAAGTTTTATCAGAGTCACATGACATAATTACTACAGTTATCTTGTCATAAACCAATAACAAGCAGTCCACAGATGACACTTTGGGCAGCAATGTGCTATAGCAAACCACAACTTAAAAGAGGTTCCTGATCAAATCAGAACACACAATACCCTAAAAAGAAGTTAGCAACTTACTTCTTATCGAAAAATGTTGAATTCTCTTTCCTCTTGGTGAATCCATTGGGTAGAAGTTTTAAGTTAATACCTTGTCTTCGCGCACGATTTTTCATAAAGTACATCTAACAACCAAAAACAAACACAAATTAATTTTAAAATGTCTTAAATTTCAAAAGTGAGTAAAATAATGTTCAATAATATAACAGTTAAGATTTATGGAGTATTTATTATGCTTCACCAACAGTTCTAAGTAGTAATCTCATTTGATCTTCACAATGATTCAATGAAATTGGTATTATATTATCATCTCCATTTTAGCAGTAAGAATTAATGAGATTCCAACATCATACAGCTATCTCTGAGAGGTATAACCTGTATTCAAACTCAGGTCTAACTCCAGAGCATGTGCTTTTAACCATATGTTCTATGAGCCAAAAGAAGAATATCACAGAGATTTACAAAGAATATAGGTCATTTGTGGCAATCATAGGGGCTACCTATAAAATTCTTTATTTCTGGCCGGGCGCGGTGGTTTACGACTGTAATCCTAGCACTCTGGGAGGGCGAGGCAGGTGGATCACTCAAGGTCAGGAGTTCAAGACCAGCCTGAGCAAGAGCGAGACCCCATTTTTACAAAAAATAGAAAGAAATTATCTGGACAACTAAAAAAATATATATATATAGAAAAAATAGGCTGGGCATGGTGGCGCATGCCTGTAATCCAGCTACTCAGGAGGCTGAGGCAGGAGGATCATTTGAGCCTAGGAGTTTGAGGTTGCTGTGAGCTAGGCTGACGCCACGGCACTCTAGCCAGGGCAATAGAGCCAAACTCTGTCTCAAAAAAAAAAAAAAAAAATTCTTTATTTCTTTCACTGATGGTTTTATACCATAGTTAGCTGTATATATCCATGATTTTATACTAAATCGGTAGCTTACTCAAGGGAGGAACCATGACACTGACTAGCACAAGGTATAACTTAAAGTAGCCACTGTTGTAGGCAATACAAAATAGGATATGAGAACATTCTGGCCCTGACATGACTTAGACCCACTGACTACCTGGGTTGGTTAAGCTGAACTAGGCAACTCCAGAGTTGTGAAAGAAATAATATGATCAGATTTCTATTAAGTCGAGGGAAGAAGAAAGGTCACTCAAAGAAAAGGCAAAGTATAAAAGCGAGTTTTGGGTTTTTTTTTTGTTAAGTGAACGAGGATCTAGAATTTGCAATGTAAAGAACTACAATCAAGTCATAAGCCAAGGGAAAGGAAGGGTCAACTATCACTGGCTAAGTAGGAAAATGTTTTAGGGTACTCTGGTTTCAGTAATGGCAGTGATTATTATAAGTGATTATAATAGCAATGATCAATCCTCCAACTGAAAACAAATTAAGCTGAGTTATGGAATAAAACACCTTGAGGATAAAGGTGAACCAGAAATAAACTCTACTCCCAGAGCATGCTAGAAAACTCGTATGGTCAGACTGGAACAGAGAAAAAAGAAAAAAAAATCCATTAGAAGTTGTGGCCATGGGCCAGTATTTCCTCAGATTTGCAATGATTTGCCTTGCTCATGTGCAAACACTGAATAGTCATACTCTAGAAAAAAGAACAAAGTGGGAGGATATACCCTATCAAGTAATGAGTTTTAGTAAAAAACTACAATAATTGAGAGAGTGTAGTATTGGTGTAGAATAGACCAGTATACCAACAGCCAGAGACTGGTCCAAGCATATATAGATGCTTGACAGATGACAAAGGTGGTCCTGCAGAACTGTAGAGAAAAGATGAACTTTCTAATAAATAGTATAGGAAAAGGAGACTATTCATATGGAAAATTAAATGGGACTTCCACTTTACATTATACCAAAAATCAATTCTAGGTAGTTTAGAGACATAAATATGAAATGTAATACTATAAAGCTTTACACAATAATTATGGGAGAATACTTTCCTAACTTCAAGGTAGGGAAGGATTTCTTTATAAACACATGTAATACTAACTATAAAGGAGACAAATAATAAATTTGACTGCATTGAAATTAAGAACATCTGTTCACCAAAAGACACCACAGAGTGAAAAGACAAGCCATAGAATAGAAGAAGTTATTTATAATACACAACCAACTTCGATTAGCATCCAAGTAATACCAAGAATTCTTATAAACCAGTAAGAAAAAGAAAGTTCATCAATGAAAAGATCAGCAAAAGGCTTGACCAGGCACTCCACAAAGAGGAAATTCAAATGGCCAATGAAATATCTGAAAGGTGTTCAACCTGATCCGGAATCAGAAAATTACACATTTAAAACCATAGTAAAATTACACAGCCATCAGATTAACAAAAATCTAAAAGGTCTGACCAAATCAAGTACTAGAAAGAATGTGATGACAGGTACATTTACATGCTACTGGTGGGGGTATAAACTGGTATGACTACTTTGGAGAATGTTTTGGTAAAATCCAGTCAAATGGAAGACATGCATACTCTACAACACAGCAATTCCACTCCCAGGAAAAACATGTTCACACGCAAACCACAATTTATAAACAAGAGTAGTAGCATTGTTTCTAATTTATTTTTTCTTACAGAAAATCCGAAGTCCATAAAAAACAGAATGGATAAATAAATTATGGCATGGACCTAAGACAGAAAAATAAATTTGGAAATGTGAAAGGATTAAGGAAGGACACAAGAGGGTAGCAGGGAACTTCTGGGAAGCTGGTAATGTTCTAATTCTAGACCTGGTGGTAGTTACATGAATGTTTCTTTAAAAATTATTCATTATACTGCATATTTCCACTTTATGATTTTTTAATATACATGCTATATTTCACAATTAAAAAAATTTTAAAAAGTAATTTATCTTTAAGCAGAATTTTAATTATTCTTAATTAAGCTTGAGGAAAAATAAGTTGATACATGATAATTACCTTTCAGATATGTGTAATGTCATGTCTATACCAATAATACCAATAAAATAAAAGGTTTAAAGGGTATGAAAATCTTGCAACTCCAATACTAAAATGGTCTCTGAAAAATGAACATAATTCCATGTAATATAATACTATTAATGAATCTCTAGAATACTGGTTGCAAAGTGTTTCTAATATGTAAACTTTAATTTTGCGTAGTCCTTAAGGAATGAAAAAGGGATGCAAGAGTATGAAAACTAAGCATATCAGAACAGCAAGTCTTATTAGTTCTTCCTTCAAAACCAGAAACTAATCAATTCCCAATAATTCTAACAGCATGACCCAAGCCACCATTATTTCACATGGATCACTGGTCTCCTTGCTTCTAATCTTCCACCCTTCCCCCTAAAGTGCACACAGCAGCAAGAGTGGTCTTTCAAAAAGCAAACATGTTCAAAACCTTTCAATGGTTTCCATTTGCATTTAGACTACATTAGAAATCCTCGTCAGTTTCTCTAACCTCATGTTCAACATGCGCCTCCTCACTCACTATGCTTCAGTCACTCTGCCCCTCCTTTAATTCCTCAAATGCACCAACCTTGCTCCTCACTCAGGTCTTTCCTTTTACTTTTGTCTCTACTAGAATAATATTCCTCCAAATGTTCACATAGACAGCCTCTTTCCCATCATTGAGATCACTGTTTAAATATCAACCCTTAGAAAAGCTTCTCTTGACCATTGTATCAAAAATACTACCCTAACAACCTCCCCACAACAAACACCATTTTCATTCATGTTAATCTCCTGAGCCACCTTTATTTTCTACATTCACTCAATTCTATTTGAAATTATATTTGTTGTTCTAAGCATGTCCTGTCTCTCCCACTAACTACAAGCTCCATGCAGGGAAGGACTTTGCTTTGGTCACTGCCATATTTCTAGTAACCAGAATAGCCCTAGATCGTGGTAGCCACGTAATATAGTTGTCAAGTGAAAAAAAGGAATCTACTTGATTGAAAGGAATTCTAACTGGAAGGGATTAGGTCAAAAAATACTTACATGTTTATTGCTTATTGGTCTTTTCAAGAAAGCATCTCTAGAAACATGGTCTGCTGTTCTTGCCACATCTTCCAAAAATCGATAATCTAAAAATTTCAAAATAACAGAATAAACAAATGACATATACCAATGGCCAGGAAAAATCAATCTGCTATGCATAAAATTGCTTACCACTCAGGAGATTCATTTCGGTGAATTGTTGTATTGAAACATAAGCAGTTTTATCTCGAACTCCATTACACGTCAGTTCTGCTTTGTGTTTCTTTACACAGGGCAAACTAAAGAGACAAAGAGGAAGCACTTTTATATTTTATGGTAAGAAAGGTACAAATGTAGGTAATAAGGTAGGAAGTTACATATATACCTGCAGGAATATCGCATACAACGTGGACATCTGTACTTTGCTTCTTCCGTACCACAAGTTTCACACCTACAAAAGCCCATATGTAATTTATTAAGTTATCAAATATTAATTCTATTTATCTGTTTATAAACTTTGAATGCTGACTGAATTACTTGTCAATCAATTTATAAACAGTTAGTCACACTGAATAAAGTACATGCAAGTATAAGTGGATGGGATTAAGATTTTTTTAAAAAGTATATTCAAGTAACTGATAAAGTATTTGACAGCTGTTAAACAACATTTGAAAATTCTTCTTTATGAAATTGTCTCCAAATAACAACTACATATACAATGATGTTAGTGAAATGTAACTCAAGAACACATGTACTAAATTTTTAAAAACTCATCTAACTTTTGACTTCTTTTTCTACTATAATTAGAGACTGAGATTATTCACTGATATTTTAACTTGGAATTCTTGGCAATCTGGTAATGACTGTGTGATTGTATGTGTGTGTATCCGTAAGTTATGTTTAGATATTTTAAAAGCACACACACCCCAGAAAAAAGAATGTAAGACCTAGTCAAATTTAGAGACCAGCAGTAGTACCTTTTCCCCTCAACTCCACACCTAACCTAGAATGGGCATCAAAATAGTCTAGAAATGCTTTTACCCATCATCTGTCCTCAACTGCTCTTCTAGGATCTTGGGACAACCAAACTACAACTACTTCTTTTTGGTCCACTATGTTCTAGACAGTAATAATACTCCCAAGAATCTGACTACTTTTATTTCCTTTGTTGTCAACATGATCGATCCCACACTAAGAAAATTAAATCAAAAGCAATAAATATTCATAGCATCCGTATAGAAATTTGACGAGTGAGGTCAACTGTTTTTGTCTAATTTTAACTTAATACACTTTGTCATTGTTGGTTTTATTAGACTTTTTCTCATCTCTATCCTCTCTCAAAGGAATAATGAGTCAAAAGCATATTAAGTCAAGCCAGATCCTGTTCCAAAGGATCTTATGGTCCCCGGAAATTTCACTTTCCTTACTTCACCATTACCCATTGCACACTAACAACTTCACATATTTCACCGAATTTGTGGTCATCTGACAACATCCTCCCCTTCCCAACCTGGCCAACCAACACCACTCAGACACCAGAAACCCAAACTTATTCTTATTTTTCACTATTTTACCTTCTGCTGACAGTGTAGTTTCCTTCACTCTAGACAAGAGGACTTTAGTTTTATTCCCCCAGTTGGATTTCTCCCTGCCTTACCTTGACATGGCCAGTTTCCGCTTGCAGCCCACCGGGTGATTTATCTGAGGCTCTTCTTTCACCTTTGTATCATCCAGCACTTCTTTCTTCAGGAAATCCTTCTCTTCTTTTACAAGCACTCCATCCATCATCTCCTCCTCTTTTATGTTCTGACCGACAAACACCTCCTCCTCTTTTATCTCCAAGTTATCCTTCCTCTCTTCCTTCACTTCTGGCCAGTCCATTACCTCTTCCTTCACCTTCACTTTCTCTTCCTTTACCTCTGGCTCATCCATCTTCTCCTCTTTTATCGCCCAACCACTCTGCATCTCCTGCTTCACCTCCAATATGCCTGCTTTCTCATCCTTCACCTCAGGCCTATCCTCCACCTCCTGCTTTACCCACTGGCCATCCAACGTGCCTTCTATTTCTGGCCAGTCCATAACTTCTTGTTTCACAACCGTTAAGTCCATGCCCATCGCTCCTGCCCTTTGTCCACTTCCTTTCTCTCCCTCTCCTGTCTTCATCATTCCTGTTAGTCCATTCCCCTCCTCTCCACCGCCGGCCTTCTCCATCCCTGCTAAGTCCCTGACTTCCTCCCTGGCCGACTTGGGACTTAACCGCGCCCCCTCAGCTACACTCAGGAGACCACCTCCCGACGACTCTGCATTTTCAGCAGCAAACTCCATCAGCTCACGACCCTTGATCTCTGCTGCCACTCTGTCCTTCGATGTCGCTGCTCCACGCCAACAGAAGAATTACGGGCCAGAACACCGACAGCAGCCCACGTGTAGAGCCGAGAAGATACAAGCACCGAATGCCGGCCTGGCACTGTCGCCCGAATCGCCGTAAAGCAACGCTTTCGTGCCTCGACACTTCACGACTTGTAGCGCTCTTTACGGCTCTGCGGCGGACCGGCCCAGATCCTCCGAGAGAGCCTGCGTGAGGCCACGCCCACTCCGACTGCCCCGCGGGGCTTAGCCACTCCCTTACGTTGGGGATGCCGCCGCCGCCCACTCTCGGCAACCTGCCGCTCTCTGTAGAGTGGAGGAGCCCCGCCAAGGAAAGAGAAACGAATCCTTTACACTCGTGAAATGGGAATACCCACCCTAATCTGTATTAACAATTAAATCTAATCTTGTATGAAAATGGAGGACACACCTGATGTTACGCCTCTTCAAAGCTTTAGTTTTTCAACCTATAAACTAGGGACGATGGTATTACAAATCTCTTCATGTTATTATGAAGATTACATGAAATCATGCATGGACTCAACTAGCAGTGACTGACACAAACTCAATGTATGGTGGCTGTTATTACTGGGCATCATGGTAGGTTTCAGGTAGGAAAGAGGGCATTAACTTAATTCTTTCAACTGTTTGTCAGTAACAGCCTGCATCAGCCTGTTCTCCCATTTTACAGGACTCTGTAAGAGAACATTATATAAATAGTCAACTTTAAAATCATACAATTTATAAACATTTATTTCTTACAGGTTACAGCCTGCAAGGTGGCTATTCTGACAGGTTTAGAAACAGCCTCTGAGGAGGCTGGAAACAGGCTGTTTGAGGGAGGGGAGGGTGGAACAGGAATTTATGCCAAATGAGTTAGCCGAGTATACATATTCAATAGGTTATATGAGGAGCTATGAATATTCATGAAGGGGAGACAGGTATGATAAGCAAACATTCATGTTACACGTGACCCATGTTCACTTTGGGGTGGAAAGTTAACATGTAAATACATTATAATTAGGCCCTATTACGTCAAAAGGTGAAGCAGAGACAGTGAGGCACTCGAGCAGGCAGCCTCTGTCAAACTGGCCAGCATCAGTCGATGGTGGGTGGTCTTCTTACCAGGAGAAAGTTGCCGAACTCAGTCTCTTGTCCAATCAAAGTTGTAGTTATGGCTCTTGGACCAGGATCAGTTAGTCAGCTCGGTCAGTGGGTAAGCTGCAATTGTTTTAATATTGCTTATCTTGAGGCTAGTGCTTGTTTAGTTGCTAGAGAAAAGGAAAAACCTTGTGGCAGAATACAGTTTATTCTTTAGGGGTAGGGGTGTGTGACTTAACACATGCCCCCATGGCCTTAGGTATCTTGTTGCCACAGAGTCCCTTCTGTCAGTATTATGATTTCTATTTTAACATTAATGCTGGTCAATTGTTGTGTCTAAATTGCAAAAAGGAGAAGCTATAATGAGGCTTGTCTGACTTCCCATCCTATCATGGCTGAGAACTCAGTTTTTAAGGTTTCTCTGGGGTTCCCTTGGCCAAGACTGTTCAATCAGCTGCGGGGCTTGGGATTTTATTTTTAGTTCTCAGTTATATATATATTCCCCCGTTTAGAGACTTGGCCAAAGTTCAATCCCGAGGAGTGGATCTAAACACACACACACACACACACTCAAACAAAACCAAAATGACCCTTGCATTTGTTTCAGCTACTTTTAAAAATTATTACTATTACATACTGGGCAACTGGGCATTAGGCACTTTGACCTAACCTTCACATAACGTCTTGTGAGATATATATTTTCCTCAATTGCTGCATGGGGAAACTTCAAAGAAATGGCTTCTTAGGGTGGGGTGCTTTGTGCTACCCAATCAGAGGCTATTAGTTTGCAGGGCATTCAGCTGTTATCATTCATTCACCTATTGTCACGAAATGGGAATTTTAAATGGGTGAGCAGAGTGAGGAAGAGGCGCTTAGTTGGGGCACTACTGATTGAGCAGGGCTGAAAGGAGCATTGAAGTAAGTTTGGAGAGGAGTAAAATCCACCATGGGTTGTGAGGAGGTAGCTTCCAGAAGAACAATCTCTTTTGGAGGTACTTAGAGGTGTTAGTTGTCCTTGGGGTCAAAGAGAAACTGACTGGATCTTCAGGCTAGATACATCTCTACACTAGAAAAAGGGGCTAAATGACAGAGAGAATCCATGTTGTAGCCTATATTAAATATCAGCAGTTTTGTTGCTTTTGTTATTTATTGCTAAATAATATTCCATTGTATGGATATAGCACATTTGTTCATTCATGTACCAGTTGATAGGCATTTGGATTGTTTCCAGTTTGAGCTATTAAGAATCATTCTGCTTCCACATTTGTATATAAGCTTTTTTGTGGACATGCTTTCATTTCCCTTGAGCAGACCCTAGGAGTGGAATTGCTGGATGGTAAGTTTATGTTTAATTTTTAAGAAATGGCCAAACTATTTTGCTATAGCATTTTACATTCCCACTGGCTGTAGGTTCCAGTTTCTCTACATCATTGCCAATGCTTGATATTGTCACTTTTTGGATTGTAAGTGTGTACTGGTTTCTCATTGTGAATTTCATTTGCATTTTTTTAATGACTAATGATGTTCAGCATCTTTTCATGTGCTCGTGACCATTCGTATAATTTCTCTAATGAAATGTATTTCAAATATTTTGCCCATTTTAATTGATTTATTTGTCTTTTTGTTATCAAACTGTAGTAGTTCTCTCTATATTATGAGTATAAGTCTGTGGTAGACAGCCACCAAGATGTTCCCCAATAATCCTCACTTGGTATTCAGACCAATGTGTAGAATGCTGCTTCTTATCCCAGGATAGCACACAGCAGAAGTAATATTATGTTACCTCTGAGATTAGGTTTGGAAAAAGGCTATGGTTTCTGTGGTAGGCTCTTGCTCTTTTGTTCTCTCTCCTGGAGCACTCCCTCTGGGGAAAGCAAGCTGCCTTGTCTTGAGCAACCCTACATATACAGGCCCAGGGGGCAGGGAGCTGAAGTCTCTGGCTGTTATAGGCTGAATTGTGTCCCCTTAAAATTCATAAAATTCTTCCCCAGTACATCAGAATGTGACTATATTTGGAGATAGAACCATTAAAGAAGTTTTTAAGTTAAAATAAGGCCATTAGGGTGGGCCCTAATCCAATCTGACTAGTATCCTTATAAGAGGAAATTGGGACACAAAAAGAGAAAACAGGGAAACACAGAGAGAAAAGACCATGTTAAGATACCATGGGAAGGTGGCTACCTGCATGCCACCAAGAGAGGCCTCAGAAAAAAACAAATCTGCTGACACATTGATCTTGGACTTTTAGCTTCTAGAATTGTGAGAAAACAAATATCTGTTATTTAAGCCACTTAGTCTGTGCTATTTTTTTATAGCAGCCCTGGAAACTAATATACTGCCCAACAACCAGCAGGGAACTGAGGCTTGTTAATAGCCATGTGAGTGAGCTTGGAAGAAGATTCTCTAGTCTTAGCCCAGCTTTGACATGACTACAGCTCTGGCCAACAGCTGCATTCAAATTCCTGACACCCAGAAATTGCACGAGATAATAAATGTTTGTTGTTTTAAACTGCTTAGTTTCTGGGTAATTGATACACAGCAGTAGATAATTAATACCAATTCCTTGCATGATTTGAAAATATTTTCTTCCAGTCTGTGTCTCTTCATTTTCTTAGTTGTGTCTTTAAAAGAGCAAAAGTTTTACATTTCGATCAAATCCAGTTTATTAATTTTTAAATGAATGGCACTTTTTGTGTCACACTTATAAATCTTTCCTAGCCCAAGTTTCCAAAGATTTTCTCCTATATTTTCCAGAAGTTTTACAGTTTTAGCTGTTACATTTTGAGCTGGTTTTTGTATATACAGTCGTACCACTATATCTGCAGGGGATTGTTGCTAGGACCCCCGCCGACAGCAAAATTTGAGAATGATCAAGTCCTACAGTCTGCCCTCCGCATCCACAGGCTCTCTATTGGCTGGTTCAGCATCCATGTATTCAACCAACTGTGGATCAAATTTCAACAATTGGTTGAATCTGCAGACACAGAACTAAGGATACTGACAGCCAACTGTAATACAGAGTAATGGTTTTAAGTTCTTTTTAAATGGGTATCTTACTGTGTAAGCACCATTTGTTGAAAGGATGATCCTTTTCCCTTGAATTGCCTTGATGTTTTAAAAAATCAATTGATCACAAATATAAGGATTTACTTCTGGACTTCATACTCTGTTTCATTGTTCTTATGTCTATCCTTACAGCAATACCACACTCTCTTGATTATTATAACTTTATAGTAAGTCCAATTTTGCTCTTTTTGAAAATTGCGTTGGCAATTCTAGGTCCTTTGCATTTCCATATAAATTTTAGGGTCAGTTTGTCAATTTCTACAGAAGAGCTTGCTGGGATTTTGATAGGGATTGTGTGGAATATATAGATCAATTTGGGAGGAATGGTATCTTAACAATATTATGTTCTACAGTCCATGAAAATGGAATGTCACCCATTTATTTAGATTGTCTTAAATATCACTTAACACTGCTTTGTAGTTTTCAGTGTATAAGCTTTTCATGTCTTTTGCTAAATTTATTCCTAGGTATTTTATTCTTTTTGATGTGATTTTGAATGGGATTATTTATTTAATTTATTTTGGATTTTTCATTGCTAGCATACAGAAATATAATTGAGTTTTATAAATTGATTTTGTATCCTGCAACCATACTCAACTCATTTATTTTATAATATATCTACATAGCTGGATTCAATTAATTAATATTTTGTTTAGGAGTTTTCATCTGTGTTTATGAGGGATATTTATCTGTAGTTCTCTTGTAATGTTGTCAGGTTTTTTTTTTATCAGATTTTTCTCCATATCCTTAAATTTTGTGTTTCCCATTCCTTTATTCCTTCCAGATACTTTCTGGGAGAATTCCCCAAGTAATTTCTACCTCATTATTTTGTTATTTGATGGTATCCAATCTTTAAGTCAACCTATCCACTAAGTTCATTTCAATTACTATATTTTC